CGTTGGCTGCATGGAGCTACGTGAGCTGCATGGAGCTACGTTAGCTGCGTTGGCTGCATGGAGCTGCGTCGGCTGCATGGAGCTACGTTAGCTGCATCAGTGGCATCAATATATGTGTTAAAAAGTGTAATAAGAATAAACTGAATTAAACAGGCCTTTAACACACACACACACACACACACACACACACACACTAATTGAAAGCCATTATGTGCCACATTATCAAACAGTCACGTTGCAGCTTAACTCGGAAACCTGCGCTGAGTCCAGAAACACGGTTCCCTCTGTTGACTGCGTTCTAACACAGGAAGCAGTTTCACCTCATTACATCTGACAGTCGGAGGAAAACACACACAGAAATATTGCATAAGACAATATTTACCAAAAAACACAGGAAGTTCAAGAATGCATCAAATGAAATGATGCAAGTGTGAGCGAGAGCAACTTCTTCATTTTGCTCAATATTCTTCACACAATCGAGAGCTCGGCGTCGGCGTGTTTATCAAAGAAATGACTGATCATAATATCAGCCTTATTGGTCTCAACAGAAATGCCACAACCATCTTGCAGATTACTCCTTGATGAGGAAAATGCAATTAAAACGTCAAGTGCGTTTTATTAGATTCTACCCACCCTGCAGGGTTTTAGCAGCCCCGGGAGTCCCTGGATGCTCCGGCGATGGATGGCATATATAGAGCTGCGAGCAACATTAGCAGAGCCGTGCCAAAATAACAGCCGCTCGCTCCCTGATGATCCTCCTTTCATCAGCATACAATGTGAACGCGTTCATGCTGCTGCTGCTCGGGCTCATATGGAGGGCTTACTGTCTCTGTGCAGACTCGTATAGATGGAAGCTGTTCAGTCTGTGGACGTCCAGGTTCATCATCGGTCTGATTTCAAACAGCTGTGGCCCCATTATAGGGAACGTTGTATGTTAGAGTGTAAATCTCTACCTGCAGCCTGGAAACTCCAGGAAGCTGTGAATCCAATCACTTTGTTTTTTCCGCAAGTAAAAGAAATTATAGCACAGTGTAAAATGATTCCATTTGTACGTGCCACCCACGGGTTTAATGGTAACGACCTTGGTTCGAGTCCAGGTGCAGGATCTTTGTTGCAGACCTCTGTCTCGCTCCGATAAAGACAAGAATCCCCCAAAACTCAGTGAAAGTACTGCGATCTCAGTAAATCTACATGTAGAGTACATGAAAATATTAATGTGGTGGTGTAAAGAGTGAAGTGCATCACATTAAAGAACCAGCACATGATGTGCTGCTGAATTCATTTTGATTTAACAACACGTTAATAACATGATAACAAACACGTCACTGAGCAAAGTATAAAACTAGAGAGAGAGAGAGAGAGAGAGAGAGAGATTCTAGTTTACATGGTCATCTGCAGCACTTTCACACAAGTGAAGTTGAAGTTATTAAAGAGTTCTTGGAACTAGTTTCTTGGAGGCAACATATTCATCCACCAAGTATTTCTGTCAGCTGTTTGTCTGCAGACGACACAAACATCACCGTGGCAACATAATGCTGAGTTCATCACTTTAAACAAACTGACGTTTCCTCTTCATAGAAACATGATGTTTCTAAAAACAGATTAGTGAAGTCATCACGGTGTGAAACGTAGAAAAATATAAAATACTTATTGATCATGTTAACGTGCTCAGAGGTCAACTAGAGCTGTAGAACTGATGAGCACGTCGGTTCTTTAATTATTTCCTCGATTAAAAGTTATGAACTGAAGTCAGGACGGTTTGAAGACGTGAATCTTCAGATCCTGTGATAATCAAAGCCAACAGAAACTGCTTTTACTTTGAAACTACAGGAAGTAAACATTGATGTTTGTGACACATTCAACAGATAAACATTGAAACTGTGGTGAAAGATCATTTTCACTATGTGTCCTGTCCACATACATGGAGGAGACCAACGACACCTTGAATCTCCAGAGGAGCAGCTTCTGAACCACAACCGAACCACCGCTCGTTCTCATCTGTGAACATGGAAGTGAAATGAACAGCTGATCTCAGATCAGTTTTCTGTTCAGGGTCTGACGCTGCAGACGCTCAGATAAATAAACGTCTTGACTTGATTCTGATTTCGTCTCAGGCTGAAATATCTTCATCATGTGTTTGGGTGTTTTGATCAAAGTGCACCGTTGGAAATATTCAGATATTGAGATCATGTATATTATGATTTATCTCTATACAAATCAAATTCAATTGACAGATACTTATTTGAAAAGAAACTTAAATTATTATAACACTCACCTGAAATGGAGGTTTATGACCTATACCGCTGCCAGCCACCAGGGGGCGGACTCTTTGGCTTCACTGTTTGGCGCTGCCATGGCGTCCATCTTTATTTACAGCCGGATGTTCCTGAGCAGGTGAAGAAGAAGATTTTAAAAACCATATTTAATGTTTATGTGAAACTCACCGTTAGCGCTTGAAGCAGCGTCTCGACCTTTACGCTGGAGTTTGTTCGGTCACTTGATTCGATGATGTCGACGGTGGAGCCGGAAAAAACACAAATAAAAAGGAAAATAGATCTTTTTAATGGAGCTTAACAATCGGTCTCTGGTGGACTCATTAGGATGACCAGTTTGACTTATTTTACAGCCACTGGTAATTAGTATCTGCAGGAGTTATAGCCATAATCAGCCAAGTTTTCTCTTTGACTTTCTCTCCGTCAGCCATTAACTTTGTGTTCCACTTGCTGCAGGAAGACGGTCAAATGTGTAAAAAGACAGCAGCCGTAAAACTAATAAAACTGTAGGGTTCCTTCTGGGGAACTTTAATACTTCCAGCGATATGATAATTCTTTGTTCTTCAAAGCAGCCGTTAAAAAAGGACGATTTTCACGGCCTTGCAGTGACGGAGACGTTGGATCCGACGGGTAACAAAGCAGATTCCCGTTGGCTCCACCGGGGGTTCGATGCTCGGGATAAATAACAAACAGCAACAGAGTCAGACTCTTTGATGAGTAAAGACAAATATTTGAAATAGTTTATCAGGGGAAACATTTTTTCATCTGATCACAATTCATTCATTTCAGATCAACTCACAGCAGCTGATGAGGAAACGTCAGGTTTCTGTCACAGCTGCCTCGAGCCTGAAGTCTCTGCTTCTCTACCGACGTCTGAAACATGGTCTGCTTCCTAAAGCTTCATGTAAACAAAGATAAACATCTGGAAATAAACCTCTGGAAATAAACATCTGTAAACAAACACTAACTGTAAATAAACCTCGGTAAACAAACACTAACTGTAAACAAACATCTGTAAATAAACACTAACTGTAGATAAACCTCTGTAAATAAAGATCTGGAAATAAACATCTGTAAATAAACACTAACTGTAAACAAACATCTGTAAATAAACCTCTGGAAATAAACACTAACTGTAAATAAACATCTGTAAATAAAGATCTGTAAATAAAGATCTGTAAATAAACATCTGTAAATAAACACTAACTGTAAATAAACCTCTGTAAATAAACACTAACTGTAAATAAACCTCTGTA